GCCTATTAGCTGTGAGTGCGCGCTCTGCTTCCGTTGCCGGCGAGAAGAGGCGTTGGGAGACCACTGAGGGGCCGTCGGGTGCGGTCGGTGAGGACAGGGACCAGGGGTTGGTGACTGAGGCTCCAGTGGTCCCGGTGTGTCAGAGCCCACGTTATGATCCACGAGAAAGTAGGTGTCTGCGGGCTGTGAAAGAAGGCGGGAGTGGGGTGCCGGGTGGAGGGCATATGGGAATCCATGGGAAGGCTGCTGGGGTGGGAACCTAGGGAACCTCAGGTGGACAGACATCTGGGTGCTGTGTTAAACATTGGGTATTATATTGCCCTGTGTTTATACTGAAGATGTTTGAGTATACACGAAGCTTGGAAAAATACAAAATGATCACCTGTATACCCTCCCTCTAGATCCATGAATTGTAAAATTTACCATGAATGCTATGTGGGTGGTGTGAATACCGTGTGTGTGCACAAGTGTTTGTTCACGCTTGAAATGACATTTTAGCTTTTTAGCCAATTCTACCACTATTTGTGTGACTTTGGATAAGATGTCTGAGTTCTGTAAGTATCAGTTATTCCATTCAAATAAATTGATAACTATCTTGCAGATGTGTTTCGGGAATGCGTGAGTAGTGTATCTGAAGTCCCCTGGGCAAAGTGCTGCTTATATAGTGTATCAGGAACTTGAGCCGCAACAACAAAAATACCATAGCCTGTGGATGTGCTTAACACAAGAACCAAAATTTGTTTCTCTTATAGGACGGCAGCTGCACAAGTGGAAGTACGGACGAGTGGGCTTTAAGAGACTATAAAGGGTCGGTTATACCGTGTTTCCCCCAAAATAAGGGGTTTATATTTATTTTTCCTCAAGAAGATGCCCTAGGGCTTATTTTCAGGGGATGTGTTATTTTTTTTAAAGTACGGTGCAACAATCTACATTGATTCAAATAGAGTGAAGTCGTCTTCTTCCGGAACATCATCATCACTCCCCAAACCCCAAGTTCCATCCTGAATGTCCTGCGACTCTGTTTCCTTTAGACCCACCGGCCCCATCTCTCCCGTGGAGCCACAGAGCTGTCACGGGCGGATGAGAAGGGCTGCTCGGCGTCTTCCCGCCCCGTGCCGACACGCATGCGCTGTGCAGACGCGCCGCGTGGCCACGCCGTCACCAGGGCTGATTTCCGGGTGGGGCTTCTATTGCGCATGCTCAGACATCCTGCTGGGGCTTATTTTATGAGTAGGTCTTATTTTCGGGGAAACAGGTAGTTACTCCTTCCAATCGCCTATCTCAGTGTCTCCACGGGGCGCCGTTGAGTGGTAGGTGAGTGGTAGGAGGTTGCTGTTTAAGGCAGCTTCAGAGTTGCCGGGGGCCTTTCGGGTGGCCTGGGCCGGCGTCGGGGTTTAGTGGAGTGGGGAAGACACTAAGTGGGCCGAGGCAGACACGAGGGACCGGCCCTATTAGCTGTGAGTTCGCGCTCTGCGTCGTGTTGCCGGGGAGAGAGAGGCGTTGGGAGAACCACTGAGGGGCCGTCGGGTGCGGTCGGTGAGGACAGGGACCAGGGGTTGGTGATCTGAGGCTCCAGTGGTCCCGGTGTGTTCAGAGGCCCACGTTATGATCCACGAGAAAGTAGGTGTCTGGGGGCTGTGAAAGAAGGCGGGATTGGGGTGCCGGGTGGAGGGCAGTATGGGAATCCATGGGAGAGGCTGTGGGGTGGGAACCTAGGGAAGCCTCAGGTGGACAGACATTTGGGTGCTGTGTTAAACATTGGGGTATTATATTGCCCTGTGTTTATACTGAAGGATTTTGAGTATACAGAAAGCTTGGAAAAATAGCAAAATGATCACCTGTATACCCTCCCTCTAGATCCATGAATTGTTAAAATTATGCCATGAATGCTATGTGGGTGGGTGTGAATACGTGTGTGTGCACAAGTGTTTGTTCACGCTTGAAATGACATTGTTAGCTTTTTATGCCAATTCTACCACTATTTGTGTGACTTTGGATAAGATGTCTGAGTTCTGTAAGTATCAGTTATTCCATTCAAATAAATTGATAACTATCTTGCAGATGTGTTTCGGGAATGGCGTGAGGTAGTGTATCTGAAGTCCCTGGCAAAGTGCTGGCTTATAGTAGTGTATCAGGAACTTGAGCCGCAACAACAAAATACCATAGCCTGGGTTGCTTAAACAAGAAAAATTTGTTTTCTTATAGTTCTGGGAGTTGGAATTCTGAGATCAGGTTGGGTTCTGGTGAGGGCTCTTTTTCTGTCTTGCAAATGGCTGTCTTCTCACTGTGTGTCTTCACCGGGCAGTGCGAGGCGGGGAGGGAGAGAGAACCGAGGAGCACAAGTTCCCTGTTATCGCTTGTTGTAAGCACACTAATGTCATAATGATGGTGCCCCCCTCATGACCCCATCTAACCCTCGTTACTTCCCAAATGCCCCATCTGCAGATGCCATCACGCTGGGGGGCGGGCCTTCAACGTACGGATTTGTGGATACACAAACATTTGTTCCTATCAGATAGATATGCCGGACAAAAGTGGCTATTATTATTCAAATGTCTACATTTCTAATGGGACTTTTTCGTTTCAAAACAATCGTATTATTAACTTATTTTTGTTTATTATTGACTGTATACGAGGGTTGTCCGGAAAGGATCCAGTCAGATAGAAACAATTGTTCTGTTAACAATGGCTAGATACTTTCTAGACGGCCCTTGTATATTCTACCTGTATGAACTTATGTTTGGTATTAAATGGAAATCTCTTTAAATTTTTTTTCCCAACATCTCCGCAACCCCAACCCACAACCACCCAAGACCCTGGTAACCATCATTCTACCCTTTACTTCTGTGAGTTCCACTTTTTAAGATTCAACATGTAAGTGAGACCATGCAGTATTTGTCTTTCTGTGCCTGGCTTATTTCACGTCACATAATGACCTCCAGGTTCATCCATGCCGTCACAAATGACACACATTTTCTTCTTTTCTATGGCTGGATAGTATTCTGTTGTGTACAAATACCACATTTTCTTTGTTCATTAATCCATCTGTGGACGTTTAAGTTGATTCCAAAGCTTGGCTATTGTGCATAATGCTTCCATGAACATGAGGGTACAGATATCTCTTGACATAGTGATTTCATTTCCTCTGGATATGCACCCAGTAGTGGGATTGTGTATTTAAGTACCTGGTACAATAAGAAAAATAAGTAAAAGTTTTAAAAATGGAGAAGGAAGGGAAACATTCTGTCATTAAAGATTTACTGTGTAAGTCAAAATTCAAATAAAGATTGTCTACGTCAAAATCCAAAACCTACAGATTAAGTATTACAATTAATAAAATAGTTTATCAAAGTTGCTGGGTACAATGTCAACATACAAAAGTCAATTGTATTTCTATCTAATAGAAAGAGTTAAACAATGAAATTATTAAAAGAAGAAAGATTTATGAAATCATTAAAATATTGAGTATCAAGAATTGAATCTAACAAAAATGTGTCAATCCATCTTTGTAAGAAACAATATAAACTGTACTCAGACAGGAAAGTGGACCTAAACAAACGCAGTGATACGCTGTGTTCATGGATCACAGGGCTTGATACTGCAAAGACGCCACTCATTCAGGTGGCTTACGGACTCAGCGCAGCCCCAACACAAATTCCTCCACCTTTTTCAGGTGGAAATCGACAAGGTCAAAATTTTATGTGTGTTCACATAAAGGGACAAAGGACCAGAATATGGCAGGAGGCCTTGCTTTTTTAGCTCTTAACCCTCAGAAAGTTCTCCGTGCCTAGACTGGGACTGTGAAAGGGGCGAAGCGCCCACCTCCGGATGCGGCCCGCGGTGTGAACGCGGGAGTTAGCGTAGAGACGGCGCACCGAGCCGGGCGGGCCAGTCCCCAGGTCTACACGCGGGGAA